CTCATCAGGCTTTCTTAGTGGACCCAATCAGAAACCTAGTGCCATCTTATGCAATTTTATGTTTTTCCTAAATTGTAATTACCAGTTCCCTATGTGTTCTGGTCTGTGTCATTTCTACGTACAGTCGCTCCACTATTGGCCTGGGGAGGGAGCAGACATATGTGCCACCTTAATGACACATGGGGTGCACTATTTTTATGAATGACTCAAGTGTACTGTGTCCAGTGCACCGAGGGTCTTCGGCCACACTTTAACTGTCATGATTCTTTACATGTGCAAACACTCAACCAGGACACAAATCTGATAGTAACCATAACACTAGAGCAAATGAAAACACACACACACACACACACACACACACACACACACACACATCGATTTTCACTGCATCCATTCATTCCCTTAACACCCCTAACTTCCTCCCTCCTTTCCTCTGTTCCATTTCCCCACCTAATTGCTCTGCCGGTTTCTCTTCCTTCAAATTCATTGCTTTTCATGCCTTCCACCTCTTATCAGAGTGACTCGATATTTATCTCTGCACTGTTCTCGCTATGATCACCTGTTCCCCTCTGCCTGCTCCCAGCTGTGTTTGTGCAGTCCATGCACTGAGATGAGATGGCTCTAACAGCTGAGACACAACCACCAATCTATCTATAAATCAATCATGCCATCACCTGCTGGCACTTGTGTGTGTATGTATGTGTGTGTGTGTGTGTGTGTGTGTGTGTGTGTGTGTGTGTGTGTGTGTGTGTGTACAATTGCATTCATGGGCACGCCTTTCATTTGCATCCACTTTTCCTCAATATCCTTTTTTTCCCCCTTTACTAAATTCTAACTCCGTTAGGCTTTGTGGAGTAGTTTGGTCTCCTTAGTGAACCATCTGCTTTGTTGTTGCGTCAGTCCTTATGTGAAACACGCGTGCAGGTGCATCAGCAGACTCATGAGTGTATATGAATGTATATGTGTGAGTGTGTGATTGCGTATGTGTGCTTGAGTGCTTGACTGCTCCTCCTTTCAGCTCGACTTGTTTATCTTTCCCTCCTACCTTTATTTGCCGAAAGGCTCAATCCCAGAAGGCTTGTGACAGTTTTACTTGTCAAACGTGTGTTTGCATTTCCTCCTCTGTGTGTCTGTCTGTCTCTCCCTGTTGTTGGTTTGGTCTCATTCACATTTAAAGTTATTCTGACTTACTCATTGGTTTTGAATGGAACAAACTTGAAATGCCAATGTGAGGGGTCTAATAAGTAAGCCTGAAGTTAAGTTACATGGACAAAATAAAGGACAAAAAGGGCTCTTATTATGAAGGAAATTTTGGTCATGTTTTGGTGGACACTTAAATATGGAAATGTCATGCCATGTTTGAACAAAGCATTAACATTTGTAGAAGTCCAAAGTTTGCATCAATACTGTGAAGATCCTTCAAAGTGTTACACTGGGGACAGGCTTTCATTTCTATTGACATTTTGATAATTTACCTGGCATTTTAGTAAATCCTTGTCAAAAGTCAAGTACATTTTATTTATATAACCCAGTATCCCTCTCCCAAGATGGACAGACATGTAATAGACAATAGATGTTGTGCTGCTATATTACCAGCATTGTAAGTAACCAGGAGTCAGGGGTCAACATAAAATGCACATACTGTAGGAAATGGAGAGAGAAGGCAAATTAGAGTGTTTTTGTGTGGAACAGTGGTGTGGGTTAGTCCTACAATCTTTTATAATTGCTAGCACAGTGTGTGTTGACATGTAATCATCACTGGTATTTGTACTTTACCTCCCTTCTTCTGCCACACACACTCTGTGTCTCCTCTTTATTCTTTAGATAAGAAACCAGATGAGAAGTGGATTGTGACTTAGACACTCTGTGGATATGACAGCTCCATCATGGGTGATAACAAGGTTCCCACATTCGTCAACAGAGGGAAAATCTTGCTGCCTGAACAGGTGAGAATGGAAACTTTACCTCTGTGTACCATTTTAAATGCCAGGTCTCCCCACACATTACATTTCCAAAAGAAAAACACTTTGTCAAAGCAAGTATACACCGACTAGAAGTTGTTTTCTTTTGGGCACCAACAGCAAGTTCTTTTAAGGAAACAAACTGAAGCGGTTTGGGTTGCTTTCTTGTAAATCCGACAAGGCAGAGGCACAAAGACGGGCCAGGATTAATAGCCTAAAAGGGAAAAGGAGCCAGAACATCCAAGTGGCTTGATCCATTTAGCTGACAGTCTGGCTTACATTAGAAATGGAACAAAGTGACAGCCAACAAATCACCGCCATGTTTGTGTGTTTTACATGATTAAATGATGGAGGGAGTATTAAATCAAACTAAGCCCGCCTGGCTTAAAGACACCCTTTTCTTACAATAACAATTTCTCAGAATGAGTGAGCACTCATTGTTTAAAACACAAATCAATTCCTTGTTGACCACACATGGTATTTATACATTGGCAGTTTCTTTGAAAGTGATCTCAGCTTCCTAGCTGTGTAGTTAATTAAACAGCTGCTCTTATCTTTTGTTTGGAAGTTATATTGAACCACTGTGCTGGCTTGTTTATATCAGCTACTCAGTCATTAGTCTTGCACTCACGCCATTGTGTAATAATTTAGTTCTACATATTTAATAGCCAGCATAATCACATTATTCCCAGTTGAAAATGTTTAGTCTTGATTTGTATTAATGTTGACTGTCACCTCATTGTATTCTGCCCAGGGAGGAAAGGTTTTTGTTACACATTTTTGTTTTGTCACCTTGTGGTCCTTGTTTAACTAATAAACTAAACTATAATTTAAAATCACAAGAAAAGTAAAATTCTCTAAGATTTTGAAAACATTACATCGCTATCATGGGGCAATAATAGGACATTTTATTTTAGTTTTTTTAATGTGTACAATTGTAGAAAAATACAAATGTGAAAGTGTGCTATGGGGCTCAGACACATATTACATATCTGCAAATTGTACTGGAAATGTTTGCACTGATACGGTCTTCCTGAGAACTGTAGTCCAATCCATATTATTGATAAAAGTACATATATACACCACAGTTTAATACATACTGATTCCATTCCAGTATATTATGTTTGTATTCTTTTTTCTCCGTATTCTTGCTGTCCCAATTCCTTTCTCTATTGCTCTCTACAGGCTGACACTGACCATGTAAAATAGATATTCAGAGGATTGGTCCCCATCACTGAGCTCTGTGGAGTCATCTCTGTCTGCTACCCAGATGGCATTCCATATCTAAATCAGGAACATAAAATGTTGAGACTGACTCTGTCGCACTCCACCCCATTACTTTATCATTTGCATCAGGCTGAATAGCTTTCCCTTGTTACGTCTGTGAAGTGGAGATAACATGAACGTCAAATGTTTGTAGTCCACCTTTTATGCTATTATTGTCACTCTCATATCACTGCTTTATTTAGTTGAAAACTTGGAGAGAAGTTAAACTTTTTTTTGTGGTTAATTTAAGCAGGAAATACTTTTTTGCTTCATAGCCATGCATTTCTTTGTTTCCATGTGTTGTTTGTGTGTCTTTGATCTCATCAGTGGGTTAGTAGAAGTCTGCATACTTTGGCAGTTCAACAAAGGCATGCTGAATCTCTTGAACATCTCAGGTTTTTCTTTTCTCTCTACAAGAGGTGCTCTATTTGGATGGCTCTGGCAGTATGATTCACACTGCGGCAGTACTGCAAACAGTACGTTAAGTTGCTATAATCAATATTTTTATATTAACAAGTGCTCAAATGACGATGTGGATGTGGATATGAAAGGGAATCATAGTGATTAACCCACAGAGAATTATCACCCAACTCCCCTCCCCAGCTCTATGCAGTTTCACCATCTCTCAATTTATTGTGATTTTCCAGCCTGCACTTATTTCAGTGAAAAAGCTCAGAAAAACCCTATGGACACTACCTGTCAGATAGCTGGCAAACACAGTGGAGCATTTAGCACAGAGATCAACAAACTTTACTATCAAAAGAGCCATTTTTGTTCAAAAACAAAAAGATCTGTCTGGAGACGCGACACATATTTGAGCCTTATAATGCTAATTTCTCACCTCAGATCAAGCAAATCAATAAGCCAGCAGCATTGATAGTGAATCTTCCCAAGCACTATCAAATTCTCTATTTTCCTTTGCAACTTTTCTTCTTTTTTTTGGAATTTGGAATCCAGCCAGCCTAGCTAGGAAGACTCAACTCTAGAAACCATCGCTGTTGAGATTCGGCAAAATAGAGGAAAGGAGCTAGGTCACAACGTAACGTATGATTCATTTAAGTTCAGTGTAATAGAAAGGGTTAGAGTTACAGTTTTTACAGTTCAGTTTAATTTTCTTATTTTCTCTTCAGAAGCATACCACTATTGTAATAATCAGTACTGGTAGCACAAGTACGCTGCTGTGAAAGAGAGGAACAGGTTACAACACATATAATACAAACGAGTCTACAGAGTCAGAAGGCACAAACAAGAGCCTACAAATGGCCTCCAGTGCTAGAATTAAGTGGGAACATTGGATCCATAAGCTTTAACAATTGCTCTAAACCTATGACAAAGGTATTGAAGGTAACAGACCTCAAAAGCCAGCATATGGCCAACAAATATACCATAATCATGAAAAAGGTGCTGAAAAAAAGTGCTTTGTGTACCGTTGTGGGCAGTATCACATATAGTACTGACCATCTGCTGGTTTCATGCTTTCATAGGGCTGTCCTCCGCTAACATTTATAAAACAATGTTTTTGGATTTCATTTCTATGACTGTTTTGCTCTGCCTCAGTTAATTGGGGGTTGCACAGAAAGACATGAGTTAGTTAATGTTTTGAAGATTCTGACAGGTGCCACTAACAAAATCTCACCGGTAGCAACACACCACAGTCTGAGAATAATATATTTCCTGCCGCCTATTTGTCCAACAAACTGAACCTCCTCTCTTGGCAGGCACCAACATTGTCTGAACCCTTAATGCATTGAACTCTTTGATTCTGAACTCTTTCAGGACACTATTTTACCCACACTGTGTGGACACCAAGAACAAAACCTGGTCCTCTTTAGAAGATAAGCTGCCAAAGGGCTGGTACTATGCTGCCAAGTGAGTAACCGTCTGGCCTTGTGTACCTGACCTCAGGTGGTGTGAGTCTGTGTGTATATGTGACACTATATATAACCTGCCAGCCACCTGCTTCCAGGTTTGCTCGCCCACAGTCATCAACCTCACCTCCATACACAGAATCACTGAACCATTGTGTGTGTGTGTGTGTGTGTGTGTGTGTGTGTGTGTGTGTGTGTGTGTGTGTGTGTGTGTGTGTGTGTGTGTGTGTGTGTGTGTGTGTGTGTGTGTGTGTGCACTGTATGTAGAACCTCTTTCAAGTGCTGTTTTAGTTAAAATTATTGTATAAATGACTTTCAGTTTACAGTATGTTGCATGGAGACGAGATAACATACACCTTACAACTTCACGTCTGCTTTTTAATATGCTGTGGGGCTTAGACAGTATAAAAAATATTTTTGTAACAAGGCACATATAGAGTCTGAAAAACTTAAATTGTCTACAAAATACTTAGGAAATTATTACAATCCTTAGTGAAAGCAGTAAAAAAGGACACATGGCAAAAGTCAAAACAAGTGTTGCATTTTGTGTGTTTAATTTGTGGCAGCTTTCCTTCCAGAATTATGTTGAAACTTATTAATGATGTTAAATTGATTTGACTGTCTACTTTTACGTTTAGATATTTTCTGTCTGGCAGGGTTATGTAGATGCATTTTGATTTATTCTAATCCCCTGCTCTTGTCTTCCTACCCTTTTCACCCCAGTCTACTCATCCCCATATGTATCACGCTCCTCTCCCTTTTTCCTTCCTCACTCTCCTGTCTCTTCTTCCGTTATCTTTGCCTTTTTTCTCATTCCACCTTACCTCTCTCACTTCATCATGTCATTCCTGTTACCCCCTCATACTTTCATCTGTCTCTCTCTATTCTTACCCTTCATCTCTTATCTCTTCTGTCTTTCTTTCTTCTGTCATGCTTTCATCCCTCCCCTCTTATCCTTCCTGTGTCATCTCATCTCATCCCACTTTCCGCTCATCCTTTCATCCATTTCCCCCGTTTGTCAGTTTACTGATTATCATAGACAGTTTGCCTAAACAGTGTACAAAATGTCACTTTCAAAAACCAACAAGCTTCTGCAGTCAAACCACACTGAGTTTCTAAATTGAAATGGAAGGTCCATACATATGATGTGATGATAATTGATCACTAATATCTACAGCACATCTATAATTCTCTATATCCTCTGCACGCTCCTGCATCACTTCATTCTATAAGATTTTGACTGTGATCTATTAGATTACATTGAACACTGTTTGCTACAACCTCCTGGTTAAGGCTACCCAGTGCTGCTCACTTAGATTGGTTAACTCCATGTGGACCACCCTCACTGTCAGCATGTCTTCACAGGCAGGTGCCTATGCATGAAGTGTGTGTTTGTGTTTGTGTATGCCTGGCCCATGCTCTTGATCTTTTATCCTTGCAAGAGCCTGCCTTCTGAGAACATCTTTGCAGAGGAAGGACTTTTTGATTTTAAGTTTATTTAAGTTCGACTTCAGCAGTACAAGCCCTGCACACCTCTGATACCCTCACACACATTATTTCACTTATTCTAGATGATTAGACTTCTTCTCAGGTCTATGTGGGTGTGTACACTGCCCTGTTAGCTTTGTTGCACTTGTTAGTGTGGGACCTTCATGGAGTTTTTGACCACTAGTAGCACTATGAAGTGAAGAATTTTTATTTTTTTGTTTGTGCTTGTGCATGAGGACGGCAAACCTAATTATGTCATCAGATTTATCTCAGTTGGATACTAAGATACTTGAAATATAAAGAGATATAATACAAGCCTGTGTTAAAAACTACAGGTAGGTTTAAACAAAATGTTGGTATTGTATGCATAATAGGTAATTTAGGATCCAGTGTCTTTTGAGTTTTACAAATACTTGGGACTAGAAGTCACAATGTCTTGGCCTCTTTTGCTTCTATTTCATTTGCATTTAGTCCCCCAATTTTATGGAAGTGCTAAATAGCTGGAGTAACTCTTTAAAAAGTGGGGGTTTTAAGTAGGACAGTGTCAGATCTTAAATTAGCTCCCTCAGTATGTGTGCGTGCCCTTGTCTTTCCTGTAGTACCACTACATGGACTTATGCCTTAAACATATCCAATAGAGAACACACACACACACACAGTCATGGAGAAAACTATAGATGCACCAACACGCACATATGTTCACCCACATGTGCATAGGCTAGGCTTTAACTAGATTTAGACAGGCCTCCCTCAGAGCATGAGATTCAGCCATGCAAAGGTAAACAGAGAACTACAGATGTTGGGTGTGCATATGCTACATCTCTTTGTGTGTGTGAGAGTGCATCTGCCTCCATCCGACCACGCGGCAGCTCTGAATAGCCTCCATCTCGGCTTCACTACAATTAGAGTAAAAGTGACGCGTTGCTCCAAGGCGCCGCAATTAGGCTGAGTCACGTCAGCGCTGGACAGCTCTGATGAAGGGCTATTAGAGAGCCCGGGATGATGGAGGCACTCATCACCCCCCCACCTTTACCACCATCACCATCATCACCATCCGTCACCATAACCCCCACCGCATGCTCGCCCCAACCACCCTTCTCTTCCACATCCATCACCATTACCACCAAACTTTCCCAGGCAACTACTCTGAGCAAGAGTCATTCTAACCTGGCAGCTCTCTACCCGCCATTTTTCCCTCCTCTCTTTTCTGCATCTGTCTCATTTCCTGCCACGGATTCATATATATTTCGGGATAAGTGCTCTCCATGAATCTTACACCTGCTTTCTCTCTCTCTTTCTGCCTTTTCCCACTTTCTATCCTTCATCCACTCTCCTTCCTTCTGTTCATCCGCACGCCTATTCATCTTTCTCTCTCTAGCCTCAGTGAGTGCTTCACTCTCCCTCTTCCTTCCGCTTTTTTTCCCTCAGAGTCATGCACCTCTTTTAATAGCTCAATTTCTCTTATTCTCCCGTTATCTTCACCAATTTGATGCATTTCACCTGGCTTGAATCATTTTGCTCATATCAATCCATCTCCTCCTCCCTCACTCTTTTACTCTCTCACCTATTTTAATACCTTACTCGAAAGCCTCTGTTTGTCTCTGAAAATGAATATTTTGTGTGGCTTCTAGGAACTCTGACTCCAAAAGGAATTATTATTTGATATAGACAGTCTGGAGGTACTGTATGGTCTAGATTGATTTTCTGACTGAATTGTGTTAGCTCTGTGAACAAAATCAGTCTTTGGGTTATTTACTGTAGTTGATGTAACAAATGACTTTCATCTATTGACATTTTAGTGTAACTAAACAATTTAACGCCAAATGGATTAAATGCTGTTTTTCACCCTTTAATAATTGTTTGAATTCATTTCATTTTAGCTGAAATAGTTTACTTTTGTCATGATGATTTGGTATTATGTTTACAAATATTGGTTTTAAATAAGAATTTTAATGACTTAGTTATTTGACATTGTGGTGTAACAAATAATAAATCTGTTTTAGCAATATGTGCAGAAGGGTTTGGTTAATGCTAACTGTAATGCCACTTTAGCATTAATTAACATGTTTTTAGGTGACTCAGCTGTAAGGTGCATGAATTGAGGGGTTTAATCAAATTATCATAAATGCAGTATTCATAAGTCCCACTTGCACTTGTGAAAATGTGTAATTAATTAGATCAGGGTAGCTCTTCCTTGAGGACCGGGTTGTATACTGACGCACTGTATACGACAAGAATATCAGTGTCATTTTTAAGCTGTGCATGTCTGTCACTGTAACATTTTGTAACATACCTGTTCTGTGAACATTTTTTATTGCTTTAGTCTTTATTGGCTTTATTTATTTCTACCATTTTCTGTTGAACTAATTTTCTTTAAATCTTAGAGCAAGTCATTTTTTCCATCACAAATATTTGTTCTGTGAAAATTCCATTCTGTAAAGCCGAGTGACAGGATAATAGTGTCCAAATGACTAACTTCAGTCCACAATTTATTTGTCAGTAGCAGTTGGCTCAAAGATGCATAACTATGTACAGTGCGTGTGTAAAGTTCCTGAAAAGTTCTGAGTAACTACTTTGTTTCAAGGCTGAAATTCAAGAAATCAGAGCCCTTTAAGTGCAGATCAGTTACTAAGAAACTTTTTGTAATAGCAAACAACATAACCACAAAAATCACAGCAGCATCAAAACAATTCCAGAAATAACAGCAGGCCACGCAACAAAAATCTTATCTGCCAATTCACTGCTAAAGGTAGGCAATGTTATTTGTGATGTACATACTATGTATGTACATCAGAAATATCTCATATTTGTCTAGCTTAGAGGGAAATACTACCTAATAACATCTGTCAAATCAACTTCCTCTATTCACTGTGAGCTAACCAAATAGTGTCTTTTTTTTATTCATGAGGTCAATGTGTGTGTTTTATGCAACAGTTAAACCTTATAATTGGTAGCTGTCACCATTTAGAACCAACTAAGCTTTATGGAGGGACTAGTTTCTGCTCTTAATTGAGTTATGCATTAATCTCATCTGCCACACAATGAAAAAAACCCATAACTTCCTCTCTGAATCTCTCCTCCTCTTCCTTTGTCTCCACCACTGTCTAGACCTCCTCTAATAACATCCAAGCCACGGTGGCGAGCCAAACAGAAAAGAGAACCAAAGGAAGGTTTGTGCCAGCAGGCGGGAAACACCTGCTGTGCTTTCTGGATGACCTTATCATACTGACACCTGACCACTTTGGCTCCCAGCCACTGCTGGACAACAGCAATTGGTGTAGCCACCAGACTACCACAGTCGCTTATGTTTGTCAAGGTAAGAGAGGGCATTTTGGTTAGAGGGCAAGTCAGATTTGTGTGTAGCTGAAAGACATTAAACATTTTCTGCCTCCTTTTTGTCCGCGCTATACCTATATATATTTCTGTATATGAGGTGGTCCTGATTTAATCCTGCCGTTTCCAGTGTGTGTCTCTGTGTATTTATCTGAACTACTGACAGTATATAGTGCACAGAGCTTCAAGGTCTGTGAAGTAAAGCCAAAGCTGAAGTGTCTTGAACCTGCATGCTTTGTAATGGCCAGCAGGGGGCAGCTCAATGGGCTGCAATAAAAGAAAGGTATTATTGAGTTTTCTGGAGAAATGATTCTTCTTCCTTGATTTATTAGCTCAGTAAACAGTTTCCTAATGAGTTTATGGTCTCAATTGCTCATTTCAAGTCTTCTCCTATACATCATGATGTTCATTTTGTAGATTATGGTCCAATTTAGACTAAAAAAGATGATAAAGCATTGTATGCTTTAGGGCATGTGAAGGAAGGACTCACATCTTTGGTCAGTATGACCTTCCCTAATGTGCTTTTGTTACTCAAACCTCTTAATTACCACTTTTCCTATTTGGCCTATTTCAAGTTTTTCCAGAAGTATTATATTGTGCAATTCTTTTTATTTTTTATTTTATTTTTTATTTGCTGTTCTTTTATTGTTATGAAACAGTATGCATTTTTTACAGTTGATCTCATTTTCCCATTGATTTAACTCTTTAACTGTGTTAAAGGTTCAGTGTGTAACATTTAGGAGGATTTATTGTCAGAAATTAAATACAATATTCATATGTTTTCATAAGTGTATGTTCATCCTAAAATAATTAGATAATTAGAATGAGTCATTTATATCTACAGATGCCTTTATTATTGTGACAGCTGAGGACAGAGAGAGAGAGGGGATGACATGCAGCAAATGGCTGCAGGTCGGATTCGAACCCTGGGCTGCTGCAACCTCAGTACATAGGTTGCCAGCTCTACCCACTGAGCTAAACGGGCACCCTGGAGGCCACCATGTTGAACGACCATGTTTCTACAGTAGCCCGGAACAGATGAACCAGACACTGGCTCTAGATAGGGCTGTTGACATTTTTCGCCATTGTAGTTTCTCCTTTGCACGTCACCGCTAGATGCTATAAACCTTACACACTGGTCCTTTTTAGTACAAAGTATAAGATTTGTATAAGTATAAAGTATTACTTAGAACTAGTACAGCTCATCACTCAAATCACCAGGACTGCCCTTTTCCACCTAAAAAACATAGCTCGCCTCCACCCATCAGCTTCTCTGGTGCCTAAACTGATCCATGCCTTCATCACATCCAGAATAGACTACATAAACAGCATTTTATACGGAACACCATCCAAAGTCCTCAATGAACTCTGGTATATCCAGAACTCTAATGCTCACCCACACCCACACCCACTCCAGTGACCATATAACCCCTGTCCTCCAGAAACTCCCCGTCTCACAACAGATCCAATTTAAAGTAGTTAAACTCACATTTAAGCTCACAAAGCCCTCCATAACCAGGCCCCCCATACCTCACCGACCTGATCCACCACCACAGCCTCCACTCCTCTGATATATAGCTGCCCCCTCACTCTGAACTCTCTCCCCAAGCACATCCAAGACTGCACAAATCTGTCCATGTTGAAATCTTTAATAAAATTTACCTTTTCAGAACAGCTTTTAACTCATGTTTAATGTTGTATGTTGTATCATGAAACACACTTTATAAATAAAATGTATTATTATTAGTAGTAGTAGTTGTAAAATCACTACTACTAGTATTAGAAGTAAGTAGTAGAAGTATCAAAACTGCAGATAGCCACAGTTTTACAATCTGGGTATAAAAGGTTTTTTTTCAACAGGGTCATTGAATTGAAAGGGTTTCAGAGCTCTTTTTCTGCCTACTAAAAATCTCAATTAATATTATTCTTTCATTACGTTGCCTTTGCTTTGTTGTGCCCCAAAAAAGAACATTATTGTTATCAACACAGGCTTTGTAGACCTGGTAATTGTGAATGTCTGATTTAATTAAAAGAGCCCCATGCTCATTTTAGCAATCTGTCTATTCTCTACACCCCCTGTCCTTCTTTCACTGTCATCCACCTACTGTATCACTGTCTCTGTGCATTTCACCATGGTTACACCTGGTAATGTCCTTGTTCCTCCTATCTGACATTTTATCCTCCTCCATCACCCTTTGCCATTCGCCTTTTCCATCTCCCCACACTGGAATTACCCTGATTATGATTATAGCCGTGATGATAATGATAACCACTGCAAAATTGCACTCTCTCTCTCTCTCTCTCATATCCAACACCCAGGAGATTATGATTGACTGAAAGGCTGCCTGCAAATGTTTCCCTCATCTCATTTTTTCAGCTTTCCTCAATGTTTCTTCCATCTTTTTTTTATTTATTTGGTTTTTTCATACTTTTCTCTCTCCCTCCACTCATTGCCCGTTCCCTCTCCAGCTCACCTCTTGTCTCTTTTCAGTCTTTTTCAATTTTCTGGCAGTCTTTCATCTCTGTTGTTGTGCTCCTTTCAACCTTTCCTGGTCCATCTTACCTCCACCACTTGTCCCGAGCTCTCTCCTTTTCTCAGTCCTAGTTTTCAGCCACTTATTTGTTCTCCTCTCCCTCTCTCCACTCTTCTCTTCTCATGCCTGCTTATTCTACTACCACAAAGAAACAAGACAAATTTGCTTTTTAGCCATATTGCATTCAGGAAATAATTATAGAGTTGCCTTGCCTCTTGAATATATGAAGTGGACAACATGAAATGGCTTTGTTCCTCTCCTTCATCTTTCATTGATGTATCCACTTCCTTACTGTGTGCATTTCCTGTTCTTTCTTTCCTTCTTGTTCTTTACCAGTGCAACTTTGAACTCCATGTATCTTATTGACATAGCTGTATCATTTAGATCATGTACAAAACTTGAATAGACCTTTTTTCTCTGCATGCAGGAGTCCCAGATCAGGTAGATCTACAGTACCGTCAACCAGAATCTACAGGGCTTTCAGGAGGAGGTGAAGCCTATTAGAAAGATTCTGACTCCAGGCCACCTTAGAAGTGTATTATGCTGTTAAAGCTTGTTTTCTTCCCACTCCTGCCAAGATACACTGCCTCTTCAACCTCAGGGATACAGTATCTAACACAATAACACATGATAAATGGGTTATATGGATACACACACATCATACACATACTTACTGTACAATACCTCAAAAATGTGTTCAAGAAAATGGAACTGCTCCTGGTTACAGTGATTGCAAAGTTCAATCCAATCCCAAAGTCATTTTGTCTAAACAACATTTTTTGAAGGTTTTTTTTTTTTTGCAAACCCGAACCTCAACAAAAAGCAAAAAGATTATAGAAAATTATACCATTTCAGTAATCGCAGTATTTTTCAAAATTATTTTTGAACTCGAGTCTGCCCCAGCCTGCCAAGATATCGTTTCTTGCTTGGCGTGTCTGACATATCAGCACTATAAAAAACTTTATTAGAGTAGTTATTCTCCTTACTTACTTCTCAGACTGTTCACTGCTGACATAGACTGAGGAAGCATTTGCCACTTTGCCTCATTAAAGTAAAAGTTATGGGAAATATCTGCTTCCATGATTATGTGTTATTGTTCATTATGTAGTTTTGATTTCTATAATTATCTTACTATATTTTTTAACATTAATACATGAGGGCCCCCACAATAACTAAGGACTTGAAGCGCTAAAAGCAACAACATTTCTGATGATTTGTTCTTGTTTTCATAACTTTTTCTTCTGCAACATCATGAATGAATCTTCATTCTGTGTTGGCCATGTATGTTTTGGAGACTCCAAACCTGAGCTGAAAATAGCTAGATAAGACAAAGGGTGGTACAAGGGTAATTTCCCTTTCCACTTATTCCATTTCTGTAAACTGCAAATGAGTCTGCAGTTCTTGAGACAGCCAGCAAGTAAGCCTCAATACCAAAGCCAAGACCAGTAGCTTTAGTACACATCTGTTTTTATTCTCTCTTTCTCCATCCCTTTCCGGTTGCTTCAGGATCAGCTGAGAGCTCACCCAGACTTCCTTAATACCAAAACCACTGTCACAACCTTGGATCCATCAGTGCTTCAGGTAATCTGCATCTCTCTCTCTCTCTGTGTGTTATATTTCTTTTCTCTCGCTCACTCAATCAAGTTGTCTCACTGCTTCTTCCACTTGTTTGTCCCTCCAGACTTTAAAGGCTATTATCTGCTGGATATTTCAATATCAATACTTTGTCTGCTCCACAATCGCATTTATCTTATGTGTAATATCCTAATTGTAATCCACTCTATAAGCATAGATCACACAGTTTCTACCCCTACAATAACACATAGATATATCTTAATCAGAGCATGATATTCAGAGGAGGGATCTCCCACACATAATAGTGTTATTGATCAATATGTAGATAATACATCAGAACTGGGTTTACATTTTATAGAAAATCTTTTGGACTAAATCTAATTACTCAATTTAAATCCACTGCAAAGTTATTGCATTTTTCACGTAATTATAGCTTACACTGTCATGGTCAAATCAATGATAATGAAGAGGCAGAAAAGGGTATAAATTAATAATCTACTTTTTTTATTAATTTTAAAGACAGAGCAATTAGATTTCAGGATGCTTTTTGTCAATCTGTGTTAGAAAAAGCACAAAAATATTCAATGGATGTCTTTAGCTCATACTCCTCTCACTCCAGTGTCCAGTTGGACCAGTCTGGATCTGGTGACTGGAGAGATGTGTGGTCATTTCTAAGTACTAGACACAGGCTACCATTTTAATTGTGTTGCATTCTAACGTTTTTGCTGTGTTAAAATACGGCTTTGAATGTTTTTCTCTTTTGTTTATCACACTAATGTGTCTGAGAGTAGCTTCTTGTTATCTACTAGAAAGATGATTATCGTTCTTTGTAAATGTCAGATTGTTTTTCAAGCAGGAATATAATTTATTCCTTAAGTGCATTATTCTAGTTTATTAACATCTCAAGCCATCAAACAGTCTAATGTGCTGTTATGAAACCAGACATCTTGTTGAAGCGCTGTGCAGGTGTTTTTGCATGCTTGACTAAAACTTAAAGATATCACTCGTATCAATGGTCCTTTTTCCTTTGTGAGGAAATGCAAGTAATTATCATTTCTTTAGTTATTTTATAGGTACTGTTGATATTCTGTTGTTTTTTATTTCCATTTGGTTGCAGTTGCCTGTGATAGTGGCGATAGCATTTCCTTTTGATTTGTTGTTGTTTGTGTTGAGGTGAGAAGTTGATATAAGCCTCTTAGGCCTTTTTATCTCAGCAGCATGTTGTTGATTGCATTAGCTTTCTCTCTTTTTTTGACTGTCATAGTTTTTATCATTCTACTTAAGTTAATGTTGTGCACATAAAGTGCTAGGCAAGATCCTAATGGAAAAATAAAGTCACTTTATCAGCCTAAATCAGGAGCAGGGTTGCAGTAGAGAAGAGCATTCCATTCTCTAATTGAAATGCCCTGTATTCACCCTCATTGCCTAAATGAAATTCTGCTTGCTCTGTGTAGGTGGAAAATATTTTTTTATTGGTACAAAGTAAAAAACAATATTGCAATCTAAAAGTGATTTCTATGTAGCAATGACTGATCACAGTTGGTTAACATTAGGGCACTGTGTGCAGTTTACTGATGTCTTGTTTCATGATTTCTGTGTTTTATAAAGTAATATAATTCACATACCTCTTGCTGCCATTCGCTACCACCACCATACAAAGTACTACTTTCTTCCTGAAAAGCAAGATGGTAAATTTCAAGGGGTTTATCCTGATAAATAATAGATTTTTAATATACTGCAACATGTAAATATGTCTTACGTCTTGTAACATTTGAGATTTTACCAAGGATGTGTTTGGTATAGGCTTTCAAATAGAATGAAGGGAATATCTTGAGCTGTTAAGGGGTTTCTTGGTTTATTTTTAATTAGTAAATATTTTATACTTTATTCACGGTGTATAGCAGTTTATAAAATAGAACTTACACAGTGCTTTACAGAACATGAAAAGGGAGAGAAAAAGATTAGAAAGATTTATTACTGAAAACACAGTGATATCACGGTGTAAAGACGGCCCCACAGATAAGATGATGGATTAGAGGATGGTCTGTGGTTTAATAATCTTTTGAAGAATCGATCGATTGTATTATCTTAGGTGACAGATTGATGAATACAGCAGGGGACATGAGTGTGTTTACATGTTTATTTCTATGTGTGTGTGTGTGTGTGTGTGTGTGTGTGTGTGTGTGTGTGTGTGTGTGTGTGTGTGTGTGTGTGTGTGTGTGTGTGTGTGTGTCATGGGTGCCCTGAGTGAATCTCATGTGTATGAAAACCTACTGGAATTGAAGGGTCTCAAGAAGCGGTGGGACTATAATATGACACCTCTTGTAGTTCCCATGAGCCTGATCCTCTTTTTTCCAAAACGCCAATACAACAAACATATCCACACACACCCTCATACATGTTTAAATACACACACTCACACACTCCTAAAAATTCTCCTGATGCATCAACCCACAATGTCAATTCCACCCGTCCCATTCTGTCCAGTCAATCCAGTACATTACCACAGTCAATATAAGAGGTCCTCATCTGCTGTACTCTGGTGTGTCTTTGCTGTGTTCACTGTTTGCCAGTTTTATGATTCAGGCCCAGTTTGAAACTCCTTTGAAAAACGCAGCATGAGGCGCAGCTAAAAGCTCCCCTTTGGTTGAAAGATAGAAGGCCTCTCAGCACCAGGCTCTGCTCTCTACACACTGCTGTCAATGTGCCACTTTACCACACGCCACTGCGAATCAATAGCACTGCATTACTATAGGAACAACATGGATCAACACTCCACTGATGGCTTTTGTGTACAGTACATCTTTTGTTTTTAGTTTAGTTTGTACATGGCTGTGGGTATTGTGGGTTTGCGTAGGTGCTGCTTTCCATTTACACAGATGACATCCTCATCAAAACTGTATGATTTTATAACATGCAAAATAATCTAGCATCTGCAATGTTAGTAATAACCCTTTGTTAATGGAACAAGCTTTATTTAGCCATTCTGTTTAGTGTGTTGTCCATGCAAAAGGGCTGTGAATACATTTCAGTAGTATTTTGTGCTCTTTAAATATTTAGTCTCCAATCACAGCATTAAGGGAGAAAGGCTATTGGAAAACATCCCTGGGAATGAGTCGGTGTGCTAGTGTAGCTTTTGTTCCATGTTTGTTGTACCTGCGTGTAAGTGTGTATTTATCTATGTGTTTGTGTGTTTAGCTTGCAGTCGGTCAGACAGACCCTGTCCAAGATGGCTGCCACTATCCGAATGGTGGACGAAAGTCAGCCATTGCTCTGAAGGCCTGTTGTTCTGAGAAAACACACTCTGGTGTCACCAAGTGATGTTTGCAAATTAACTGATGCAACTAACATACTTCTGTTGAGCCAGACATGATATTTCTTAAACCTAACCAAGTAATTCTGATGCCTAAGCCCAACCACACTACGACCATTTTAGAATGTTAACCACGTTTACTATTGTTACCATAAAAAACTCCAGGGAGACTGTGTGTATTCAGAAAAATGGGCATTCAGAGCAGTGGACTTGTTTTGTGGACTGTTTTTGGAATTGTTGGACAAATGGCCTTTCGGTTCAATGGGAAATTTTTTGGACTATTGGGGTTTCAGAATAATGGCCTGTCGGAACAATTGTCAGGCCCCATCTGACCAGGTATTCCAGGTGGAAGTCACCAAGCAGCACGGCAAGCAGAAGTTCAGACAAGGTGAGATCTCACACACACACATGCTAGTACTACATCTACTTCACTGGTGTTTGAGAAAGACCATAACTACATCTGATGCCTTCCACTGAGGAAATCACACTAACCTCTAAGAAATTAAAACAAGGAAAACTGGAACCAAAGACGGAAATGAAACAAGATTAGATCAAGCAATGGCCTCATATAGGTT